GCTACTTTGTTTCTAAACAGAATTTGCAGAAGCAATAACTGCATTTCCACTTTATCATTTGTTGCCATTTCTGAGGGAGCATCTATATCATTCACAGGCCTCTAAAATCCAAACTGCTTCAAATCAGCTAAACTGAGTTTATATTCTGAAAACATAACTTTCTTTTAGTATTAGTAATGAATAGTAATTAGTAATGAATAAGCTCTTTCAAGAGAAGGCAAGAATAATTTGGGCACACAACCGAAACCAAACACACCAAATTTTAGAGCTGAAGTCTTACCTGTATTTCCCTTTTCATCTTCTCGGATATGTAGTTCTTTCACAGAGGTCTCCAATTCCAATAAATCTCGAAGTTCTTCCTTGTAAACCTCTATATAAGATACTTTCACATGGAAGTCAATGTTACGGTTTGCAGAAATATGGTGAAATAATTCCTGAATAGCCCGTGGGATTATGCCCTTTTCATTCTCTGCAACTGATGCTAAAATATAAGCAAAGATGTCACAGATGTGCACATTCTGCTGCACAATTACAGAGGCTGAAGACTGAAAAAAGTCTGACATTTGCTACTCAATATACTAAGGAATCTGAAGAGCTCAGTGTTCCCAAGGATTTTTGTAAATATTTGTTTTTCTGGGGTTCAGATTATTTGTTTGGATGCATTAATAGGATTCAAAGTTAAGTTCTAAATTGCATAAAGTTATAGTCACGAAAGTTATGAAAAATATGGAGTCTACTTTAAATATATACTACTCATTATGGATGGCAATGACATCGCAAGGGTTTGAGAAACTATCAATTCCATTTAAATACAGAAAAGACCACTAGTGACTTGGTGAAACAACATTTATGACCAACATTTTCAGCAATTTCCGTTTTTTTCAAAGTAGATATGAATACTAATGCCAAACTCTGTTTTTATTTTCTTTAATATTCAGCATAGGACAATGCTTCCATAAAAAATTCAGTTCTTTATTCAAGAGTATGGAAACTAACTGTTTATCTGTGACAGAATACCAAGATTTTTTTTACAAAAAAAATAAAGGGTTGCTCACATCTAGCTATGAATTTAGTAAACATACATATAAAAGTAAAATTGCTGAGCTATGAACAGCCTTCGATTGTGACAGCCACTACCTAAAGAGTTCAGCTATCAATGGTACTTACAAGAACATTAAATAATTATTAGTAGAGGAAAGACAAGTGAAGTTATAACAGTGAGCAGAATTAGGAGGACAACTCTATGAGGTTCAAGAAGGCCAAATGCCAGGTCCTGCACTTGGGTCACAACAACCCCACCGAGCGCTACAGGCTTGGGGAAGAGTGGCTGGAAAGCTGCCCAGTGGAAAGAAAGTTGGGGGCATTGATCAACAGCCACCTGAATATGAGCCAGCAGTGTGCCCAGGTGACCAAGAAGGCCAATGGCATCCTGGCTTGTGTCAGGAATAGTGTGGTCAGCAGTACTAGAGAAGTGGTTGTCCCCTATACTCGGCACTGCTGAGGCCGCACATCAAATACTGTGTTTGGTTTTGGGCCTCTCACTACAAGAAAGACATTGAGGTGCTGGAGCATGTCCAGAGAAGGGCAACGAAGCTGGTGAGGGGTCTGGAGGACAAGGGAAATGGGGTTGTTTAGTCTGGAGAAAAGGAGGCTGAGGGGAGACCATATGGCTCTCTACAGCTATCTATTAGGAAAAAGTTCTTCACAGAAAGGGTTGTTAAGCATTGGAAGAGGCTGCCCAGGGAAGCAGTGGAGTCACCATCCCTGGACGTATTTAAAAGATGGGTAGACATGGTGCTTTGGGACATGGTTTAGTGGTGGATTTGGTAGTGTTAGGTTAACGGTTGGACTGGATAGTCTTAGGGGTCTTTACCAACCTAAATGATTCTATGATTCTAAATAAAAGGAAGATTTTAATACCTACCAACAGATTTAGAATAATCTATTTATATCCATTTGGAAGACTTAAATCATAAATTTCTATGATGTCATAGAAATGTTTCTCAAAAAAAAAGAAAGAAAAGAGTGAGCAAGGAAACAATTAATTGCCTAAAGCAGACATTTTCAAGGTAAGATAAATGTGGCAAGACTCTCCAAACACTGCATTTCAGGAAGAAATTCCAGTTTAAGTTGCATGTTAAAATGGGGAATCAGAAAGAGCACTTTATAAATTGTTTTCCTCTTAGATATTTTTGGAGAATTTGTTTTTCAGAACAGTTTCATTATTACAAACTCTGGAAGCATTTTTTTACTATACTTTTTTTCATTAGCCCTTACAAATTCTGCATGATCATCTGCTGTGTATTCAATATTTAACTTGGACAAATACACTGTTCAGCAGTTTAAAAAAAACCCCAAACTTTCTACAACCTACCAATGTGGCCACCTCCGATGGTGTAAGTCTTCCCAGAACCTGTCTGTCCATAAGCAAACACTGTAGCATTGTATCCCTCAGTCAAAGACGCTACAAGAGGCTTAATGCAAACAGTATAAACTTCTTCTTGGGTTGAGTTTTTGCCGAACACAAAGTCGAAAGTGAAGACACGGTCTTTCCCAATGATAATCTGTTGAGTATTTGGGACTAATCTCACACACACTTGATGGTTATGAAGTACTTCTTTGGAAAGCAGAGGTCTGATTCGAACTGCAACTTTAACTGGGATCTCCTCCATGCCAGATTCCATCCCTGTGTTCCTCACTCAGTATTCACACAGTCAACAAGAAATCTGTTGCCACTCCTGTGTTCGCCTCATTCACAGTTGTCTGCAACTAAGAAAAAAAGGTTTCCACATTATATAATAAATAAGAAATAATTTCCTGCT